CTTTTTCTCTCAAAATGACCATACAAACATCCATTCAAAGATATGAAAAAGGAAGTCGTGGTTACGCACTCCATAATCCAACCAATAAATCTAGCGGGGAAGCCCAAACCCCTTAAGACCTCATGAAGAAATTCCCAAGAGATCGTATCATATGCCTTACGCAAATCTACCTTGATCATACATCTAGGTGAGATTTGCTTCCTCATGTATCCCCTAGCAAGTTCTTGGGCCAGAAAAATGTTATCAAACATGAGGCGGCCATCAACAAAAGCACCCTGGGCTAGGTCAATCAATCCGGGAAGGCAAGGAGAGAGTCTAGCCGCAAGGATTTTTGTAATGATTTTATACATCACATTCGTACAAGAGATATGTCTATAGTCCGACACCTTCGGTGAGTGATTCGTTTTTGGGATAAGCGCAATAACCGTATAGTTTATTTGCTTACAAAGTTTTCCCGAACGAAAAAACTCTTTGACGGCCCGGACTATATCATCCCCAAGAAGGTTCCGATTATATTTAAAAAAAGCGGACGAATAACCATCCGGTCCCGGTGCCTTGTCATTGCCGATGTCAAATAGAGCATTCTTAATCTCTATTGTCTCAACCGGAGCAAGAAGGCCATCATGAGCACTTGGCTCAATCATAGGACCGGTTTCCAAGACCGCTTGGTCTAGAGGTGCATTCGGAAAAGGTACCAAACAAATTAACAAAAAAAATTTACAAATTCATCCCCAACTTGCTCCAAGGATGTGGTGAGATTGCCATCCTCTAGCGTGATAGAAGAAATGGCATTCCTCACGTTCTTCTTCCTCACGATCGCATGAAAATACCTAGTCCCCTTGCCACTCATTGTGAATATATGGTCTGGCAACCTTTTCTTATTACTAATTTCAATTTTAACCGTACGAAACTATAATATTTAAGACAATAGACAATAATTATATTTCAGATCAGGTTAAGTCATATTAGATCATATCAGATAAAACTTGAATAATAGTCAGTGCCCGTCTTTTCAAAAGTGCAATAAGTTCTTGGTACAGGGCTCACTTTTATAGGGGCCTCCCAAAAATTAGTATGTGTGAGTAGTAGTTATAGATTAATTTTTCTAGATAATTATGCATTAATCCAAATTTCAAAAGGTGTATAACTTTTACTTTGTCTAATTTGTATATTTTACACATTATAAAACTTATATTTCAAAGAATTAGGGAAATCACAACTCCCTAAATTATATACTTCATCTATCATTTTTCGTTTTAGGGATTACACATCTATTTTCTGAGAGTAATGACATTATCTTCCTTCAATCTCCCCCAAATGAACATTGGATACTCTCCAAATAAGTTTTTATAGATTTATTATTATGATTCATTGTAATGTTATTTGATCTTGATTATATGATGATTCTTTTCCCATCATTATCTAGTTTATTTGTATTTCATTGTTAAAACTTGTATTCTTTCTTGTTTTAAAAGTCATCAATATGTCTTTTGGAACCGAGGACTCCAAATTCATTAGACGGCCTTGAAACTATTTGTAGTGGTGAGGTATTAGGAGTCCAAATGACTAATTGTGGAGGTTTAGGACTCCTAATTGTATGTAGTGAGTTTAAAAGGGTATTAAAAGTGGGAAACCGGGTGTGAAGGGGGTTAAATGTAGAGGGTGTTGAGAGGAGTGGGAAGAGGAAAAAGAAAAGAATTGGACGGCCCCAAGTTTGCTTTTGGTGCGGATGACGTCATGCTGACATCATCCTTGCATCATAATATTTTAATTTTTTAACTTGTATAACTTTTTTATTTGTTTTCCAAAATTTTCAAAATATATATAAAAATTCATAAATTTTATGATCTTTCATATGACACAAATATGTAATATATAAATGAAAAAAATAATCTAAATTTTAACTGTTGAAGTTTTCTTGGGTCCAAAAAACACAAATACAAAATTTTAATTTATGGAGTCTTCACAATAATTAAATATTCCACAATCGAACTAAGTTCATTTTTTGTTAACTGAAAAAGGTTGAAAAATAATGAAATTTATTTTTTTCATAGAAATGTTTATTTTTTATTTCATTATTATTACAGAAAATATAAAAAGGAATATGTTGAGTATATTTTATTGACGGTTTTGGAATGCGGGGAAATATGATCTAAACACATTTGGTCCGACACCACTACGGAGGAGTCCATTTTTTAAATTTTGACCTCTCCACCACTACAAATGGTCGGACAACATTAAATATGTGGACATTTACTAAACCAGACCACAAGATTTCAATCTAATTAAAAAATCCTTAACCACTTAGACTAAACTAGACGACACTAAATAAAACACATTAGAAGGGACTCGAAACTTAAGGTCAAATCATACATTTTAGACAACAAAAAAGCATGTACTTAGTGTAGTTAGGGATGGCAACGGGGCGGATCGGGGATGGTTTTACATATAACCGTACCCGCCCCGTTTGGTAATTCTCCCGCCCCATAACCGCCCCATTACCCAACGGGTAATTTTTACCCAAACCATAACCGCCCCAACGGGTAACGGTTATAACCGCGGGTAATCGCGGGTAATCACTTTATTAAATTAGTCATTAATATTTGAATAAAAAAATAATATTTTAAAAGACGAAAAATGGCATCACCTAGACGACGCTAGACTCAGACGCCACTTTAAAGCTTCATATATCTATAAGACGAGAAAGAAGACAACCTAAATTAATTTGAACCTAAAAATACTTAATCTGAAAAGTAATTAATCACGAAAAATCATATACGAAGTAATAATCAAACAAGGCTATTAAGTTCTATCGGAACTTTCATTCTTACACTATAGTTAGTACATCTATTATCCATATATACACACAATGAACATTAAAAATCTCATCTTTTATTAGTTGTGGGACAAATAATAGATAAGAATGTAATAAAAATATAACTAACAATAAACGGGGCGGGTACGGGGCGGGTAATGGGGCGGGCATGCATAAAACCATAACCGCCCCGTTACCCGTAAAAACAAAACGGATATTCCCCGCCCCGTACCCATTACCCGGTCAATGCGGTTTTCCCCATTTTGACCGGGGCAGTTCAGTGCGGGTATCCATCGGATCGGTCACAATTGCCATCTCTAAGTGTAGTAGATGCGTGTCATTGAAGAGCAACTTATAGATATGCATAAGTTGTGCATTCACCCAAAAAAACACGAAATGCCAGCTCCACTTCAGGGGCCATATTTAAGTTCATGTTTCCAAAAATGTAAATGTGGAAGAACTCGAAAATTGACATACTTTCATTTCAATGGCTAGCGTACGGCTTGGCCGCTTGGGGTTGGAGCCTACTTGGTTCCTTTTTCTTCTATCATGTATGCCAGTGAGTGAAGGGATGTGTTTTAAGGCAGAATGGTCCCAAAACTGGAAGAGTTACATGTCAGAAGAAGACAATCCCACAAGATAGTGGTTGAATGGTCTACGCATCTCTCAACCTAAGCTTCCATCTTTCATTAATAATGCATATATGCAGTGCCTCTGGCAATGGCAGACTAGTCTGCGTCCCTTCAGCATTGCCCCCTATCCTTGAGCAATTAAACATCTATGTTCATTCTTGGGCTATTTCAACTGTCCTTACATGTCTCTACGTGTAGAGTCGTGGGACCCGCCTTATCCCTCTCCGGTGGTGGAGCGAAAACTCAATACTGCCTCCATTCTTAAATAAACAATCAAATTTGATTGGGGGAGTGTTTAAGCAAAAAATATGTAGTTGAAACTTATCTAACGGTTAAAGATAGTAAATGGTTTCCGGGAAAGTAATGTAGGCATAATTTTGGGAGACAGGAAGATTTAGAGACAATATTTGAACAATTTATACTACGGGGTGAAAGCTTCACATTTGGACACATTCTTCCGAGAGATTACATGTAATTTTATATATATCTATATCGCAAAAAAAGGAGTGTGGCTCCTCTTGCCCCTCCTTAGAGAGTTAGAGACATATGTAAAATATGTGTTTCAAAAGAAAAAGATTACAAGAGCTCACTCATAGATGATTACTACGTATTACAAGAGAACAATCAGAACAATTTTTCCCTTTTCATATGTAAAAGTTTAACAATTTATGTTAAACTTTTAAGATAAAAATGAATTCTTATTTATGGTTTGATTTTTCCCTTTTCATATTAACTACAAAATATTGATACACTTTTAAGAAGTGTATAATATTGAAGAAGCAAAAGATCACCATAAAGCTATTTTTATCCTTACATCTACAATACTTTAACTATTTGAAACTAAGAGAGTATATTCTAAATATGACTCCCCCTCCTCAATTTAACATGCAAGTTTGACCTCCACAATGTTTAAGAAAAGTAAATTGTCTGGTCAGAATTTATTAATGAGAGATATAGCGTGAGTTGTGAAACAAACAAGGATTTTCTCAAACAATGGCTTATGATGGTTCAAAAGGGAAATTATAGAGATAATTTAGAGATAGAGTGCAAGATTGTTTTTATTTATAAATTTACTTGCATATAGATTAGTGTACAAATGAATAAGTTCAAGTTATGCAATAACTTATCTAAACATTGTATTGTATTTTAAAAGAATTAATATAATAATTCCATGTTTAATAATTTATAGGGCAAAAGTGTTGAAAGATATTGGACCAATGAGTCACACAAAGTGGTCCATAGCTATAGGTCAGATGAACTTCATACAGCAAGGTAGGTAGGTGATAGGGATTCAAGAGCAAAGCAAGCATATATCATATACCCCTTTACACATATTTGACAGGAATGGCTGCACTTGTTGGGCTTGCATGTGTTCTTGTCCCTGCAATACGAAACTAAAACATTTTTTTAAATAAGGTAATAGAGACGGCAAAGATCAGCATCAAACAAGCATATCACAAATACCGTTGGATGCTCCAGTTGTGTCTAAAGTGAGCAAACACACGTGAAGGGTATGCATTTCAGCTGTTGAAAGAACTAAAGAATAGAACAATTGTCCCACAACACCCCCTGAACAAATATTATACCAAACACATACATTTGTAATTGTTCATCTAGCAATTAGTGCCGTGCCGTAAAGGTAAAAGTAAAAAAAAATGAGCCAAACTTTTGTATATAACAAACTTACATTGGTACCATACATACAACATCAATTTTTTTGTTCTTTTTCAAAATCCTATATGTTGCAACGGTCATAACCAGAAAACCATGAAGAGGGATCTAATTTAGAGAGCTCATCTTCAGTCTGATAGAATGACTCGAACTCTTCCCTCCACTGTTGATCCCCAACAGTGTTCTGGGTCTCTCGTGAATCATAAACCTGTGGTTCGGCTTCTTTATGTGGTTTACTAGTAGTAGATTCTTCAATTAACCGTTTCAGACTGTTGATTTCGTGTTCGTGCTTTTTCTTCATTTTTTCGATCTGTTTGTAAGCCTTGCTGGCTTCTTGCTCTGCGCCCATAGCCCGTTTCTGCAAATTATTATATTGAGGTTGAAATGCATTAGAAATGGAAAGAATGGACACATAGATTTCACTGTAGTCTAACGTAATAGGGAGGCTTGGTGAGTTAAAGGTGTTCAAAATTTTAAGCACTTTTATTCAAACTGTCTACTTGTGGACATGTAATTGTAACCCAGTTTGCATACCCTAGTCGTTATAGGCTACCTAACCACGCCTTTTCGATGGAGTAGTGGAAAACGTCAAACAAATAATGTCTTGTGAATTATTATTCAATAAAAAATAGATCCTACATCATAAACAAAACCAAATTATGTGGGATTTTATCACTCCATTGGTTCCAGTTGAGAGCTTTGTCAAGCAATGTCATTCATTCCGATTGAGAGCTATGCCATCTTAGGACAAAATACTGACTACCTAACCGGCTAACCCTACATTTTCGATAGGAAGTCCTTGTTAGACTACAAGGAAACATCAAATACTTAATGTGTTGCGCCAAGGCTCCCCTTCATAATATCTTATGAGCAACACCTTTACCGTTGCGCCAAGGCTCCCCTTCATAATATCTTATGAATATTCAATAAAAATAAGATCCTACCATCATAAAGAAAATCAAATTAAGTTTTCCTGTTATATCTCATTTGTTCCAATTGAGATATCTCTCCTGCAAGTAATATTTATGAGGTCTGTGAGTAACTTTTATGAGACCAAGCTATCTTAAGTCTTCTTTTACCACAATTTCTCAACATGACTACCCGCTTATCCTTTCCGACAATGACTTCATAATTGAAAAAAGGTGCATGATGAAGGTTAATAAGTTTGTGAGCAGCTCCAGAAATGCATTTGTTGTGAAGAAACAACTTAGAACAGCAAGGCATTTCGAGAAGCCCCCAAATCATCCCAAGAGAAAATGAAGCGTAACCACAATGCTATAAATGATGTTACAGAAATATAAGCACACAGAATAACATAAATGCATAACACATAAATTTCACAATAGTGACATACATAAATGTGAAATGAACTATAGAAATCCAAAGTTACCTCGGCAGCTTCAACAGTTTCCTCGGCTTCTTTAAGGCGAACAAGCAATTCACCAGCAGCCTCAACAGCTTCGGCAGTATCCCTTAATTGGGACTGAAGACCTTTGTTTTCTTCTTGGAAAAACCGCTTCTCCTTTTCTCTTTCAACTTTAAGTGCAGAAATCTCTGCAGCAAGAGCATTTATGAATCTAGATTCTGCACCTCTTACTCCTGCCTTGGCAGCTGCTTTCTTAACATCTTCGATCCCATCTTGGATCTTTCTGTGCCTAGAAAGCAACTGGATGTGTTTTTCTTCCAGGTCAGCATATTGTTCAAGCATTCTTGCATGGCCCTGCATGGCCATTTCCATTGCTTCTTTTAGCTCTTCAGAACACTTCTTCTCCATTTCAAGTTCAGTCTTTTGCTTAAGACCGAGTCTCCGGCTGGCTTCGAGCTCTACTCTCAGTTCTTCCACAAGACTAATCCACTTACTCTCTGTTTCTGTCCATTGCAACCTCTCCCTCTCGAGTATATGCTCGGCATTATCCTCTACGGGGGGTTCTGGGATGGCAGAAATGGGCTCTGTTCCCACACTTGCCTCACATGCATATGTTAATTGCAGCAATGGGCTTTGCATTCTTGATGTCTTAGGTGATGAGTCTACATAAAACTGAAGTTGACTTCTCAAATCCTGAATCTCTTCCAATAGAACTTCCCGCTCACCCAAGTCAAAGAAGTTACGATACCTTTCCAGCTCATCTTGAACTCGAGATAGCTCTATTCTTGTGCTCAATAGTTCAGGATGGTTTTCGTACTTTTCTATCAGAATCTGAAAGCAAATTAATAGTACATGATGAGGAAAACGAATCCACATGCTATATAGTTAAAGGATATGTTTGCATCCCAGAAAATGCCAAGGAAATAGATAACAATGTTTAAAAAAATTATTTTCTTACGATCGTTTTGAGTGTTTGACGATGAAATACATATTATCAACAAATATGTTATATTAAATTTATTGACTTCGGTAACTTTTCATATCTATTTTCTCACATTATCTTTCGTTACAATTTCCCCTAGGCTTTCTTTCCCTATTACTTTTCAGGGTTCAAAAAGGAGAGAAGCATACCTTGTGCTCATGAGTTAGTGACATCATCTCATCCTCTAAAAAGTCCTCAGTTGTTAGGATCCCATCCATCAAGCTCTCTAAGCGTACAATCTTATCGTCCCGTGTTTGACTAATTATCGAGTTGCATTCTCGCTCATGTTTGTACTGCTGAATCTGAGGTTGGCGGTGGTGAAAGGAAAGATCATATAAATGGAAACCATAAAAAACTATAAAATTCTTGCTTGAGGGAGATATAACTTACCAAACGATTTAGTTGCAAAATTTCTGAGTTTTGCTTAGAACATATTTCTTCCAGTGCCATTTCTCTTCGTATAGCTCCTGCCAGAACCTTCTCTACTGCCTGAAAAGTAGTGAACCGTTAAAGATACGTAAAAAAAAGTTATAATTAACCTCTATGTACCATTCCAGGCTTTAAAAACTTACTTTAGGGACTTGAACCTTGAATTTCTCGCAAGACTGTGACCCATCAAAAGGCACCAACTGCAGATTCGAGCTATCACTCGTGACATCATTGAGTGCTTGCATAGAATTATTTGTCTTGCACTTACTACATAAATATATTGAACCGTCTTCGAGTGGTTCATGGCCATTAAGAGCAGTTTGAACACCCACATCAACTTTAGCAACAGGCACTATTGCTCTAAGTTCAGCAGGTCTGTAAGAGAATCTGAATGATGACTTTCTTGAGGACACACTTTGGCAATGACTACCAATGATTTCAAGACCACGATGAAGACTTGCAGCCAAATGTGCAGTTGATGTAAAACAGTTTTTGCTTTTTCTTGACGCAGAATGCAAACAGGTGCTGCTCGAAGGCTTTGTTAAGGGTGGCTGTGGAGCATCCAACTCATTCTCTATTAGATTTTTTTCAGAGGCAGTTAGCATAGATGATGTCTTAAGGCTTTTCCTACTGCTGCTAGTATTCATCTTTGGTGAAACACTTGGTGTTGGAGACTTGAGAATATCACATGGAAGTATACTGAGATTAGGCACTGAATCATCCTTCAAGCAAACTGGAGACTTCTCCGGAGTGTTTTCTGTGTCCATGTTTTCTTCATGAACATCTACAGTGCATGCCTTTGCTGTTCCAGTATTTCCCCTATTGGACTGAAGATCCAACCTTTCCGCTTCTTCAACAATCTCCATTAGTGTATCACCATCATCATCTACATACGGCAATGCGGCTGATCGATTAAGGCTGAATTTTAACAAATTCAGGCTTCTCCGGGCATTCCATCCAGAAGAATAATTTCCATTTTGATCTCTTTGATTGGCCTTCATTTGAATTAGCTCATCCTGTTCAGGAGGGGAAAAAAATAAAAGGCACAGAAGACAGGTGTTCAGTGCGATAAGAAAAGTAAACAAGAGGACAATTTTTTTAAGTGATACCACTTAGGAATTACATAGGCACTTACAACATGATCTAACACTAGTTTATACCCACCAGTCCACCACTCTTTATTCTTAAACAGAAATATCATGACAAAAAGAATTCACAGAGAATAGAGGCATATACACACACCTTCAGTTGCCGTATAACATCTCTCAAGAAATTCACATCATTCTGCATTTCTTCATTCACAACTGCCTTGTTCTTGATTGCCTTTGCTCGCTGGGCAAATCTCAGTGTACTAAAAGTCTCACTCTTACAGCTGCATTTTCCGTATAAAATTCTCCCCCATTGAGAAAAGACTAGAAAACAAATAATAAATAAGAAGGGAAAAGCATTCGCACCCTAGAAGGGTTTAGTCTCACACTCTCACCTTTGAGATGGAGAAATGGCACAGATCATTGCCAGTTTTGCGTTTCCTCCTAGAGATTCCTGCAATAAAAACGTCAACTTGGAATCTCTATAAGGAATGTGCCTTGGCTTCCCTGTTTGTGAAACTTCCGCAAGAATGTTTATTAAGTTCCTATAGAGTCAAGAAACAATAGAAATTAGAAGCAGATAGCGAAAATACAGCAACCTAAACATCAAAGAAGCTACACTAGAAGATGCTTAAGAGGCAGCTATAAGATATGTACTGATTTTACAAGTTACAGATATCTCTTTCTTACCAAAAAAGGATATGCACATAAAAATGAAATTGATATATATATATATCAGCACAGTGACCATTTATCAGTTATCGCTTATCACCCCATATAGCTATTTTATCTATTTTTCAAGCTTCATGTAATATCACCATACAGCTATATGTAGTTTCTCAATTGATGTTTTTTTAAGTCACAAACACCACACTACACAACCCATGAATCTTATTTTACTTTGGAAGTGAGCTTGAATGCTTTGTGTTTTTCAAACAATAAAAGTGCCTTTTGACTTGACTATATGTACTTTTGAAGCGATGGACCCTGTCTAGTCTAGCAATAAGCTCAATGAGGTGCATCAACTACCCTGAGTGCATCAAGCCTGTAGCCTTCCCAATGGGAGCCCGTAAACAAGGAGAGAAAGAACCCGACCTAGTCACATGAGTTCAGTTTCACCCCTATGCAAGAATACTCTTTAGGCTTTTGCAAAGAGAGCATATAGAGATAGACAGAGAGCATATAGAGATAGACAGAGAGCACTCTGTATGCTTATGGCGTATCAATCGAAGACTCATACACACCACATGTTTAGAGAGTCGTAGGTTTAGAATAGGTTAAAAAATGCTTAATTGCATCATGTTTTCGAGTACATGTGCTTCATTGCAGGTTTTCATGTTAGAGAACTCAATTGCTGATTAGCTAAATGTTAGAGGGCATATGTGAGTTGATATGCAAGAGTTATATTTGAGTCAATAAAGCCACAAATCTTAAATCCTAAACATCTAAAACCAACTTACTTAGGAAATAAAGAATTAAAATAAAAAATTATCTATAAACAAGTAACGATTTTTTACACATAACACACAGTCAGACACCAAACAAGTAATCATTGACAATTTACACTATACCCAAGTTGGGAAAGAGATCGATTGATGTTCCCTGCTTCCTTTAACCTCTCTCCAGCTGCACCAGTCAGCTTTTGTCGCTCTGATCCGGCAAGATCAACAAGATTTATTCTACTTGTCTTTCGGCTGCTTAATCCATCTGCTTTGCTCTGTCAGTTGAAACACACACAAGACAAGTACTATGTCATATACTCATAGCAAATACGTAGTATTCATTAACAGTAGGACTTACCCTAGCAAGTCTATACATGTATGTTCATACACCATGTTACTATCAGAGATGTCTTAAAAATAGGCTGCTTTTACTGTGTGAGAAGTCAAGCTTCTCCAAAATAAAACTTCAGGGGGGTCTACAGTAAATGTGGTAAGAAGAGGGGCATTACCTTGCAGCGTGATTCAACCACACATGTAAATACACTATGGGAACGAGAACTCTCAGCATTAATACTTGTTGCTCCCGTCCTCCTGTTTGACAATCCCTATAGATATTTTTAAAAAAAATCTCATGTTATATGGTTGTCATTGATCACAAATAATGAACAAAATATATTCTTCCAACAATGCATGGGTGGGAGTAGACAAATAGAACGATTAGAATATAGAAACTAAGAAATTTTTATTGGTCATCTATAAAAAACATCCAATGGTCTGATTTCTAAAGCATTTTCTTTTTCCATTTTCACATTTTCA